AAAAGATAAGATTACCTTTTTTTCTTTCGGTTGTTGATTACAAAGCATTAGACTAGACAATTCAAAATCTGGCCTTTCAAGGTTTTCTTTCCTCAAACAAGATAAATCCCACTGATAGGTGCTGAACACACAAGATCACAAGGTTCCTTGGCACTTGAAGAAAACCTCGAACAAGAAAACACCACTTATGGCTTCTCAGAGTGAGGAAGGAGTTCTTACATGAAGTGCAAACAGTAAATAGAACTCCAATTCATGAAGAGATGGAGCGGTTCTAGAGATGTTCCTGTCTGTGGAGAACACTGGGTGACTTGATGAGGCTGCTGTCCCTTTTAAGTAAGGCTTGTTCAGGCATACCTGCATTGGCATGAGAGAGATCATCCTGGCCATCCACACAGAAACCACGAGTAAATCTCCCCCAGATCATAGCAAGCCCCACTGACTTGCCCTCCCTAGATTCAGGAGCCATGCAGAAGATAGCAACAGCCAAGGGCCATGATAGTCCCCAAAGCCTCCTAGAAGACATGTCTCATTGTACCTGTGGAGCCTATATCAGACTGCACACCGGTCTTCGGGAGGGAGGCGGGGAGGCAGGAGGAGATAATTTAAAACTCAAAAGCTTATGGAAGTGAATGTTGAAAACTAAAAATAAATAAATTAATAAGAAACAAAGACACGTTTCAGGTCCGACATCTCTTTAGACACAGTACGTCAAGCTTGTGAATAGCTGAAAAATTATCTGTTCACACGAGATTAACGCTTTACAAAAGGAGATCCTCCTAAGAGGCTGAAGCAATCTTACTGACTCCAAGTCACCCAAGATGACAAAGTTTCTTGGACTCCAAGCCATCCCCATCCCATAACAGCTCCTTGGGTTTATTTACTGTCTTTCTTTGAACTAACAAAATCTAGTTGATGTAAAGAGTCTGGACTTAACAATTAAAGCAGTAAGAAATAAATTTAAAATTAAAATTTTATCCTCACTCCATCTTGTGAGATGTAGATGTTTCTAGCACTCCACACTAGTTCACTAGTCTGCAGAACGTATTTAACCGCTCTATCTGGATTCATGGAGGTCTGCTGACACCTATCGGCCATTTTCCGCATGCAAATTCAAACTCTAAGCTGGCTTTAGGTTGCTATATAAATAAAGTCCTTGGAACTCATAGCAAGAGCCTGCTTCAGGGAGCATAAGTCCCTCTAAACACAACTGTAGAGACAGACTGAGGGGTGATCGCCTACTTTAATTGCAACTACTTTTAACTGCAATTAACTCCTTCCTGTCATGTACAAGTCTGGACACAAATGTTCTTTGGTTACTCAGTGATCCCCCTCTACTTCTCTGGGTGGCTCCCCCCAGTCCAAACCAGTCTCGCTGACACAAAAACCGAAGGACAATTCGAGCTGAGCCGCCGGAAGGCAGGGAAGCAGAACTGCCTTCCTCTCTGCCCCCACAGCCACTCTCGCCTTTATGTGAACCTCTCTTTTCACCAATGCCACTTTCTTAAACCCCGCAAACCTGACCTCCCTTTCTCATCCTTTAAAGACTCATGGACCCAACACTACTGCGTGTCTGGTCCTTCTTCTGCCCCCCCCCCACTCCGCCCGGTCTTTCCTTCTTGCCCTTTCTAAAAATGAAGCTGGTCAGCAAGCTCCTTCTGCCCTGACACTGTGCCCTGGCCCTCCTGGGCAGCAGGCTGCTTCCCTTCATTTAGCCAGAATTTCATTCCAGAGATATCCTGCAATCATTCCTTCCAGATTCGCAGGCCGACAGAACCAGCTCAACGCCTCCCTCTGAATGTTTGAAATGTGAAATTTCCCCAGAAATCTGGGGAGCAGTCAGACCATGCCTGGCTCTCCCCTTTCCCTGTCATAAAGTCTGGGATGGAAAAGTCAGTTCCACCCCAGCAACTGGCCCCTCCTTATCATCAAGACTCAGATCCTGGCTGACTCAATCACCTTGGCAGCTATGTGGAGATGGACTGGAGAGGAAGAGCCTGGAGGCAGAGGCAGCAGGGAGAAAGCTAGTGCAGTGGCCAGGAAAAAGCAATGGGCCTAAACTAGAGTCACAGTTTTAGGAATAGCAAGAAGGGAATGTATGTGGATGATGCCATGGAACTAGGAATGGAGAGATGGGGTGAGGCTGAAGAAAAAATCAAGGACGACGCTGGGAACCGAAAAAGTGGGAAGGCCCTCACAAGTCCGGGGCAAGTTCAGAAGAGCCCCCACTAATAACCCAACAGCCCACAGCAGTGAACATACATGAAGCATCTGCTCTGTGCACCATGGGCATGAAGAAAGGGCCGCCCTCCTGAGGCAAGCACCAACAGGGTAATCTGGGGAGGAAAGAGGCAGCTCCAGCACTGCCCCCCCTAGGAAGCAGCCCGAGACCATGGAGCCAGCAGCCACCCAACAGATGCTCATCACTGACTGAGATACAAATGAGGCCACCAAGCCTGTGTTTAATTTTTGTCTAGCCAATTAGCTCAACATAGGAAAACAAAACAAACTTTGGTTCTGCAGCCACAGACCGAATTCCTTGCATTCATGCCAGGAGGGGAGACGGCACATTCCTGAAGAAACGAGCCAGGGCGGGCCAGGAGCATCTTCATTGGGAGCCACTCAAAGAAGGTGAGAGGAGGCGAGAGGAGGCTAGGGGGAGCTCAGCACTGAACTGGGCCAACTCCCCGAGGAAGAGGATGGCCAGATCCCCAAGCCGCCATTCAAGAATGTGCCCGAAGGCTCTGAACAGGAACTGCTCCCTGCAGACAGCTCGCCCCACCATGACAACACCTGCACCCCTGCCAACTCCTTTGGGGTTAGAGACAGCAAATCTTTCACAGAGAAATGATAGAGAAGGTTTTCTAGGCCAAACCAATGTTGCTGCTCCACAACCTGCCTATGTTGATGATATATGTGAGCCTATGTACACAGCTTGTCAATTAAAAGGTCTGGGCACGACAGTGACACAGCTGTGAGGTTTCATTAACGGCTCTTTTCTCTGAGCCAGATAGCCCAACATCATCAGCAATTACACATGTGAAAATATGAATTCCGCCAAACCTGGCCAAGGTGAGCACGCCAGAGGAGCGAGGCACTGAGACCCCGCCACAGCGCCATGGCTCCCAGCAAGCCCACAATCCCTTCAGCTCCCTTAGAGCTCCTGAAGGCTGAGCCCAGCCAGTGGGTGTCCAGCCTCACCTGGAGTCCTAAGCTCCAGGCCAATAATCTCCCGTCCTCAGCAGCCGATAGCATTGCTGATGTGCCCGGCGTCTCTCCCAGGGGACCCCACCTGGCCCGCTGGCTGCCAGCCCTTGTCTTTGCTCTGGTTTACCTAACTCAGAGCTTGGTGCTCAGGGGAAGATCCTGAAAATTAACCAGGAGCTCTAGCTCACTCATTCAAATTTTCTGGGCTAAAAAGCCAAGTGCTCACACTGCTGAAGGGATTTAAAGTTTACCAGGCACTTTGCTCAAAACTGTCATTACCCCCTTTTTAGAGTTGAGGAAACTGAGGCCTATAGTCCAAGACTTGTCCCTGGTCACTCAGTAAGTGCTGAAGCCTGGATTCCAACCCAGGTCTCCGGCAGGCTTTCCCCCCTCCAAGGCTCGCCAGGAGAGCTCGGGCAGCTTCTACCAGACCGGACAGGCTTCCAGACCAGATGAGGTCAGTGCCAAGAGACTCGGCAGCACAAGGGGATGCCTCCTTTGGCCACAGTGACAAAAGCCATTCCTGAAAATCCTTTTCAAATGGAGCCAGGACTTTGCTGTCTTCAAATGGGCTTCAATGGCCTCCAGTCAGCCCCGAAAGGGGGTATTTTCACGCGTGTAGGGGATCCATCGGCCTGCTGCAGACCGGCCCCAGGACCTCTGCTGGGAGTTAGAGCCTAGTGCTCCTGGAGGACGGGGCAGGAACAAACATAAGACACGGTCTGGCCAAGCACACGGCAGCCCAGGAGACTCCAACTGGCCTCAAGTCACACAGGCGATTAATGGGAGGTGGAGGAAAAGACCTCATGTCCTCTGTTTTCTAGAACATTTTCCATTCTACAGTGCCAAGCAATTTCTCCAAGTAAATCCTTGATTCTCTATGTATTTTCTTATCATGTGCCTTTCTCCTCAAAGGGAAATTTCAGTTAACTGAAAATTTTGGTCAGCTGAGTTCTGGTTATCTGAAGTTTTTAGGGTACCTAGACTAATAAGGAACCTAGACAAATAAATCATGTCAGCTAAACAGAGTACTTAGAGCAAGTGACTCACGACTAAATTAATGATGTACCCATGCTCAGTCAAGGTAAATCTGTTCTTCCTCCACTTAATCTAGGAAGGAGGAACTAATATGGAAAGAAAAACAGTATGATCACAACAATCTACTACGTCATTAGTTATCATCGACCTCACCTTCAGAAGAGGAGGGGCAGGCAGCCCTCCACCCCCATGCCCAGCCGTACAGGGGAAGCTCTACCACCAAAGATGGTCTCCCCCACCAACACCAGGGCCCCTGGTCTAGCTCTGAGTTCTGGCCCCTATTCAAACAATCCCCTAGCCCCCGTAAAGATAACACATTAAAATCCTATTTAATCAGTGGCTCCTTCCTTTATAGTGAATAACGTTAAAAGGTCCTTTTTTAAAAGCAGATTCTGAAAGAGAGACTGGTTGAAGGCAGCCTGAGTGTACTAATCAAGCGGCTCACAAGGAAGGGCTTTGAGAAGAAGGCTGGGATGGGGACACCGCCACAGGAAGCAAAGGGTACAGAATGGGAATTCGAGACCCGCCAAGCCACGCTGCCAGGTCTTTCCACTTCCACTAAGCTCCTGCTAGGTCTCTGGGGAAGGCAGCTGCCATGGGTCCAGACGTTAATTCCCAGGTAAAAGGAACGGTCCCAAGGGGGTTTCTTACATAAAAAGACTATCGGGTCACTTGGGCACAGACTCATGCGTCTCCTCTGGTTTATGGGGATATTCAAGGCCCTCTTTAGAAAGGAGCTCCAGCCCACCAAAGCTTACCTGTTTGCCAAGGCCTGAGTATTCCATTTGAAAGCCTTTTCCTGTCTTTCCTGAGAAGGCTTTGAACTTCCACAGGGAAAGAGCAACCTCCCATCTGGCCCAGTCTTCTCGCCGGTATTACTCACTGTGGCCTTGCCTTCCGGGAAGTCTTTCAGTCTGTTTTTGGCTGTTTCCAAGCGCATTTTGCTGAGAGGGTCAGAAGCGCTGGGTGGGTTCTTCCACTTCTCTGAGTCCCAATTGCCGTGAATGCCCAGGGACTTTCTGGAGGAAGAGGCATTTTTAGCCACTGAGGCATCAGACAGAACGTGGCCAGTAGGGGATAGCTCTAAGGATTTGGGAGGGTCTTCATCTCTGCTCTGCGCTGCGTTCGGTCCTGACAACCGTCTCAGGAAACGCTTTCTGAGGGGGTCCTGAGAAAGTTACCAACAACAAACAGTCAGTATTTTCATTCAGATCCCTTCACAACAACAGAGTTCGAGCAGAACTGAAATCTTTTCTTTTCACTGCTGCTGGGCAAGTGGAGGCAATGGGGACTGGCTCAAACTGTCCTCCAATACTGCAGATGACAACGTCTAACTGGTTCCATTTTGCTTGAAAATCATACAGAACCGAACTTCCTGCAGTAGCCTGAGGCTAAAAAGGACAGATAAGCCCTTAAAAACCATTCTAAATCACTGCTTAATCCATCAGTGTTTATCCAACACCTACTACATGCCAGGCACTATTCTGCACACTCAAGATACAAAGACAGATAATCTTTAGGCCCTTAAACAGGGGGGTGGGATGTAGGCAGAACTCAGCAGTGCTATTCTGGATAGCTGCCTCAGGGCCAAAGCTAAGACCGAGCCTCAGGGCCTCTATATTCAGGTGGTGGACCTCACCTCTGCACCTCTCCATTGTTACCTGGAGTTTCAGGAAAGGGGGCTGGACTGTCGTTCCAGAGATCAGGGGCGTGCTGCTGAGGGGGAGATGAGTGGATGAGGGATCCTCTGGCCTTCAGGCTAGGAGTCTGAGAGAGGAGGGTTTTGATACCCCCTCACATACTTCTGGGGAGAGCATCTTGGTGCTTTCTTCTTTTCAGAGTGCCCCTGGGTTCTCTGAAAGTGGGCTCAGAAACATCCCCTGAAGACGTTCCCCGCTTCCCCGGGTTCCCTAGCTGTCCATCTAAAATCCACTCCATCCCTACTTGGCATGTTATTACTTGGCATGTCCGCTGCCCCAGACTCTGCCCTCTCGGGCCAAGCAGAACAAGGGGAATCCCATTTCCACACAAGGGCCCTACAAAAGCTTGAAGAGAGCACTCACGACCCTGCCAATTCTACTCCTCTCTCAGTGACCAATTCTCTGATCTTGAGACCCGGCCCCATCCTGGCCACTCTTCAGCTTTCTCAACATCTTTCCTAAAATGGGATGCCCAGAACTGTGCACAAGACAGCCCTCCCAGTGCTGGACAGTGAGCTGCCCTTTATGTGGCCACCATACTGCCCTCTGAGGCCCTACTGAGCCTATGGGCAATGGAAACCCCCCAGCTTTTTAAAGCAAACTATTGTTCAGCCATTCCTCCCCCATATCTTTGCACTCTGAAGTTGTTTTGTTGAACCAAAGTGAGAGGCTTTTTATCTATCCTTCCTAAGTTTCCTGTTCTTGGGCTTGGCCCCAAACTCAGGGCCCACAGAGGCCACTCTGGCTCCCACTCTCTCACCCACCACACCCAAACAATGACGATAAAAATTAAACAGCACAGAGCCAAGCTAAGATACTGGCCTGTGGCCCACGGTCATGGTGAGCCATTACCGCCTATTCTGCGGAGCCAGTCACTCAGCCTCGTCTGCACTGACCCACTCACACCCCAGTCTGTTTTCCACAAGAAGAGCATGAGAAATGCCAGCCGATATTTTGCTACGATACAGGCAATCTGTACCTACAAGACTCCCATTGATCTACCATGGTAGGAACCCTGTCTAAATGGGAAATGAAGCCAGTCAGGAAAGACGCATCCTGGATAACACCATGCTCACTCGTCTCCATCACCACATCCTTTTCTGGATGTGGACTCACTCCACCTGGAACCCAACACTCCTGAATTAAAGCCAAGAGCATGGAGTCTGCTGACTCCACTCTCTGCTTTTCTGACAATCAGGACACCTGCCTTCCTCCAGGACTGGCTGATCTTCTCAATGAGAGGCCTGGCACCTTTACCTGCCAGACCTGGGGATACGATTTGCCCAGGTGAGTGACGTGAACTGTCACCCACCATCCAGGACAAACGGCACTTACAACTCACCCAGCATCTCTGCCTCTTGGACATTTTGAGGTCTGTCCTTTCCAGGCCAATGGTGTCTTTAGCACAGAAAACAGAGGCAAAGCGTCACCTGCACAGCTAGGAATTCTCACCATTCTCAGTATGCTCACCATGACTACCTACCTTCCATTCTCCTATCACATGGATAGTTTTAAAAATCCTGAGCTTTAGGACTTGTGTCCTGCCCAAGTCACACCAAGCTCTTCACTCTGCCCCTGCTTCCACTGTCTCAACCATGAGATGCCTCTCCCAGGACGCGGCGGAAGTAGAGTTAGAGGCCCACTGGCTCCTTGTGAAGGGTGAGAAGGGGGGAACAGAGGTATGCACGGGATGGTGATACCAGAACAATTAACTCCCCCAAAAGTATTCACCAATCTCATTTTTTCCATCCCTCCCTCATCCCACCACAATCAACTAGGAAAAAAAAAAGCTATAACCTTGAACCCTTGACCTTGACTTGAATGGTGGGGACTTGGCCTGGTTGTGGGATTCCTACATGACTGTCATTCTGTATGGTTAAGTTAAACTGCCAAGATGTACGACGCTTATCCATGGTTGTCTGCAGGCTGAGTCTCTCTGCAAGAGATTGTCCCCTCCCTAGCCACATTCTTCCTCCGGCCTATGCCCCTGCCTCTTCTGCTATCTGCCAGGACCTTCCTTCCCATGCCTGCCGTGCATTCTCCCTGTCTGTAACCTTAGAGGTGGGATACTAATCAGACAGAGTCAAGAGAGACACTCAAACCCGTACCAAATACCTGCCATCTTCAGCACGCCTAAGCTGCCCTGACACAAAGACTGATGACAGGAGGAGAGGTGTGAGTGTAGCGAAACATGTGCCAAGTGCTGGGAGCCTCTATCACAGACTCCCTGCTCCCGCCTTGGCCTGAAGAACACTGTCCCCAAGGCTCAGAGGACGTGCCCAGAGGCCAGACCCCTCCCCTTCACTGCTTTGCCGTGCCCTGCCCCTGAGCTGGGTCTGGGGTGCTGCCCGGGTTCTCAAGGTATCAGGTGAGGACCAAGTTTGGGAAATGGGATCTCAGCTCCCTTGAGTTGTCTGCAGCTAATCCACAAAGTCTTCCCCCAACTACACCCCAGAGAAAACTCACTCCTTGGGCACTGACCGGCTCAACTAATTCTTCCACAAAGCTCCTGTAAGTCCCAGAAACAAAACTCAACAATTAGTGTCGGTTCTTCCTCAGGCAAGTCCAGCCAGGCCTGAAGCTACACCTACAGAGAGTGAACAGAGCTGGAGGGGGTCAAAGGACCTGAGTCTAATCCCACCTCGGTTACTTAGGCATGACCTTGGAAGCGTCACAACCTCGCTCACAAAATGAGGGCGATGGCCCCTGAGGTTCCTGACAGCTTTAAATCCATGATCACACATGGTGAGAGTCAGAGCAAGATCGGAACCCAAGTCTTCCTGGTACTGAGCCTGGCCCTCTAGCCAGTAGCCACTCGTCTCTCAAATCCAGCTGCGGAAGAGGCTGAGGCATCATTTCCCAAACCGCAGGAACTATGGATGTTAAAGGCCTCGCAGTGTTGTCACCCCAGTGACTTTCATGAAAAACAGGATCCCCTCGCTGGCCACTTGATTCAGCACTGGAACCTGCACCTGACCTCTCAACCAGCTGCCAGGTGGTCCCGCAGGCTGACATCTGCCCTAATGAGCAGATCATTTCTGCATAAGGCCTTCCTCAGACCCCCTCAGCCTTTGATCCTGGTCACACCTTTCAGAGACTCAAAAAAATACCTGAGGTCACCCAGCTCACTTATCTGCACACACGTCTCCTTCCTCTCCTTCAAAGTGAAGCATGCCCAGGAAATGCCCTATCCATTTCCATATCCATCATGCCTCGAGTCTCCTTAACATGCTACAGTTTGTCAGGTTCTCTCTTTAAAATGGGCGTTTAGGGTGGAAAACTATTTCTGAGGTAGTCTGGTGTTACCACTACAGCCTCTCTGAATTTGCGCGCAATTCGTCTATGAATGTAGCCTGAGCACGGACACTCTATGATGTAAGGAGCAGCAGGGCCTGGTAAGATGTGGCTCCTGCCTTTAAAGTCTATTAGCCGTATGACTCTGGGCAAGTCACTTCTCAGCACCCCCAGACAACTAACTCTCTCTGATGACAAGTCAGAGTGAATTGATGGGATGTGCTGAGCTGCATAGAGGGAGAGAGTTTCCACACTAGGCATTCCCTACACAGGTCCAGACAAAAACAAAGTCATTAGTTTCTGAAAAGTCCCTGGAAATCAGAGACAACATGGGTCTGAATGATCACAGACTCCTCCTGAAGATAAGGAAATAGAGCCCTAGAGAAGCAGACCTTCCTTATAGCCAAGGGGAAAGAGGGTCTAGAACCCAGATGCCATCATCTTGCAAGGTTCCTCTGCCTCACTCACAAGTAGGGTGGCTTCCTCTATCTCCTATCCTAGCCCATCGATGCAAAGTGGCCTAAGCAGCTACCCAGGTACACAGGGGTCACAATCATCATCATCATCATCATCATCATCATCATCACCATCATCACCATCATCATCTAAATAAGACCAACCTCTTGCGTGATGGGCCCAGACAAAATTCCTCTAGCCAAGAGGCCAGGCTTGAATCTGACATCTCCCATTTTCTTCACTTCTGAAGAAGGCTCCACCATTTTGGGGTTCTCCATGCTGCTGGCCATGATCTTCTCCCTTCCAGCTGGTGGCGAATAGTTACCGTCTCCTGCGATGGACTTGAGAGTCTTGCTTTTATGCAGAGGTCTCTTGGGGGACGCAGTGTTACCAAGTGTGTCCCCGTCACATTCACCATGCCTACTGGAAAGAAGAGGTTTGGTTTAAGAGCACATGTCACGCCTCACAATCCCTAAGCACTCACATTATTACCTGAACATTTCCCACCACCAGGCAAATACGCCATCTAGTAAGTGACAAGAAATGCTTTCAAGGACGTCTGGTTGTCATTGAGCCAGGGGTGGAGTCTTAAACCAAGGCAGCTCTTTCTTAGTGTTTTTAGGGCACGTTTCACTGGTAACTGGCAAGAATTTAGGAAAAGCTGAAGCGCTACACCCTGGTCCAGTTTACTCCTACTACTTTCATAGAATCTTATTTCCATTCAGATTAGTCAAAGCCAGAGTATAAATAATGGGCTGAACTGTCATCTTAAACTGAAAGAAAAATCCCTCACTAGGCTCAGCATGACATCCAAAAGGCAGAGGGCAGAGAATGGAGCTTTCTTTGGTCTATTTGACTCCAGCTGTTTGCACTGCAGAGGGGTCACAGCCATTGGGGTGCGCTGGCCCCACCAGATCCAAATGTGCTACCCTAAATGCTCGCTGGGAAATGCTGAACAGAAGAAATAAAATTACAACACAACACAGACAACGTTCATTTGTGGCTTTCTAAGGCAATGCTGCCCCCGAGGCTCTTCTCTATTCTTTATCCCGAACTGAAAATTCCTGAAAGGCCGCCAAGGTAACCCCAGATGTAATGGATTTATTTTCTATTCAAAAAAATTTTTTTCCTATGGCATTTTCCACACAACTGTGGTTTTCAATGTGCTATATAAGGAAAAATAAATAATATGGTTTGTTGACTTCAGAAAGTGCTAACTCCCATGCCAGGAATGCTGAGAACCTGCCCTTTTTGTTCTGAACATCAGTGTTGGTGAAGCCGGCCCACAGGACCTAGACACCAGCCTTCCCATTCAAAGATACCCCACCCCAGCCACGGTTCTGCTGCTGTCCTCACCGCCTCAACAATTTAATTCCACGTTCATTAAGCATCTACTACGTGCCAGGCATGGGGGAGAGAAAGAGGAGAGAGGAGCCAGACCCTCCTGTTCCACAGTCTCAGCCTTCCAGTGAACAAATCCTGGGGAAGAATACGCTCACAATCACATTCGTATTTTAATCTCAAACACCATTTTGATGGGGCCAGCCCAAATCAACAAACAAGACGATCCTTCCCAAGGAAAAAGGAAGTTGGGAGCCTCAGAGGAAGTGTCCATTTTAGGCATGGCCAGTGCAGCTGCCTTGAGGATCACCATTCTCATGTCTTAAACGAGCAATTCAGTCTTCCCAAAGCAGGGTCCCAAGATAGGATCAGGTCACTCCAACGGAGAGCCACCACCACCCAGGGAAGAGCTCTCTGCCCTCCAACTATCCCTCCACCACGCTGGATAGCACATAAACCAAACGATAACACCTACTACCAGCAAATTATCACACAAATGGACTTTAATACAGTGTGAGCTTTTGCTTAACTCCTAAAGCCTTTGAGGCTGTGCATTTCAATACTAGGAATTCTGCCTCCACCAGTGTAGACTGCAATTGTCCAAGGCAGATAGATAATTTTTAAGGATGAGGTTTAACCATTTTGCCCAAATTACAGGTAGCTGGGCAGAGTGTATTGGATTTGCAGGCCAGAAGACCTAGGGGGTTCAAATTGGGCTCTGGTATAAGGCCTTGATAAAAGTCCCCTTAGCTCTATGGGTCTCAGTTTCCCTAACTGTCAAAGGAGGGGCTTTTGGTTAGATTATCCCCAAGATCCCTCTTATCCCTAAATCCTCTAATACCATGACCCTCTAACACTTGGCTCAACACAACAGGGGGATGCTTAAAGTTTCCTCTAGGCCTCCAGGCCTGTGCTCATCCTCAAAATAATAAACCTGTGGGCTTCCTCTACTTTCTGACCACTGTGGAAAGCAGACCTTGGCCAAGGGTGCTTGTCCTCACCAGACCCCTCAGGTTTCCAAACACCTCTAAAATAAGGAAGATCGACCAGACGTGTGTCTGTGGTCCCTTCTAGCTTTCAGCCAATCTCACAGCACTTCTCTGGTCTGCCTGGACTAGTAAGCCGCAGTAGTCAATAAGAGCTGAAGCGGTAAAGCGATTCAATCAGTCAACATTTATTAAGCACCTACTACATACGGGCACAAGCTCCTTTTGCTTTCTCATTCACAACATCTCCCTGAATGAGCTTTCCTTTTCCTTGGGCGGAGTGGGGCCCTGTCAGCTGCTGACTGGCCTCTCACCCTTAAGCACTTACTGTATACACCTTTGTGGAGTGCTGCTGCTGTTTCTAACCTTGAGCAGATCCAGCCGTTTGATGACTAATCACTCTAAAAGGATTACTCTCCATCCATGTCCCTCAAGCCTGTTACCAGGCGGCCCCAGCACTCTACTGTCTGTGCTCCTCCAGTGTGCGTTCACTTACTAAACAATTCTGTGGGCACTTTTCTGTAAAGATGGCAACGTGATCTGCCCTGAAGCAGAGGTGGGTGCCCATCTTTTCTATCGAGATGTAGAAGATTTCTCCGTCCTAAGAGGTCAGCACAGGAGGGAAGGGCATTGGGCTGTCCCTCACCCATCAGCTTACTGGGTTGGAGTTGTAATAAAGAGACCTGGTACCGCTAGGCTCTAAAGCAGTATTTGTTGGACAGACAGCATACATTCTGCCCCAAACACGGCTCTCCGTGGAAGATGGAACAAGGATTAACTCAACAGCAAGAAGGGCCAAAAGGTCTTCCTACGAGGATCAAGGTAGCTGCCAACACAACAATAAAGCTTTCCCTGACACTGCCCCCACCGTTCACTTTCTCATCTCAAAACGCCTTGATTTTACTGATCTGAGCCTGCACAACACTGAGTCACCCAGCATTTATGAAGAATTGTTAACAGCTGGGCCCCGGGCTAAGGAACACGGATCCAAAGAGAGGGAAAGGGCCAGTTCTGAGGGGTTCACTTTCTGATGGGGAAAGCATGGGAATGGCCAAGGACATACCAGACGTACTCATAGCAGATGGAATCGGAGAAGGAAAAGACCTCCCTCAGAAGAGTCGGAGCTGATCGGAGAGCCGGGGCTGAGGCCCCACTGTTGGCCAGAGCAGCTGGATCAGAGCCAATCGCAGAAAGACTTGAAAGGAGAAATGGGCCTGGCTGCGAAGAAACGCCAAACGACTAAATGATCGGATCTTGGGGGGATAGGACATGGGCAGATGGACTCTTCAGGAGAACACCTTGGCAGCTGAAGGGAGGACAGCTCAGCAGGAAGAATCAGAAGGGGACAAGACACAAACAGGACCGTGGGCTGCGCAGAAAAGGATGACAAGTTCTGGTAACCACTTGGATATGCGCAGTATGTGAAGGAAGGTGTCAAGGAAGTCAAGATTCTGGGCCTAGGTGACTAAGGAAAAGGAAAGTGGGAAGAAGGCAGGGTCTGGAGGAAAGAGATGAGTTCCAACAGCCATGGAGCACCACAGGGCTCAGAGCAGTGGTCCTGGGGTCAGGAAGACCCGAGTTCAAATTCGGCTTCAGATGCTTACTAGCTGTGTGACGCTGAGTGTCACGTAATTAAGTTACTCTCTCTGATACCACCCTTCCCCACTCACCCACGGCAGATCAGCTGGGTGGAGCAATGGTTAGAGAGCTAGCTGTGAAGGCTGGAAGATCTGAGTTCAAATCTCTGGCCAAACCACTAGCTGTGCAACCTTGGGCAAGTCACTTCACCCTGTTTGTCTCAGTTTCCTCATCTGTAAAATGAGCTGGAGAAGGAAATGGCAAACCACTCCAACCTCAATCCTAACCCTCAAAAAGGTATTACAGAGTCAGACAGGACTGAAAAACAAGCGAACCATCACCTCCCAGAACCAGTGAGATCCCATCTGTACAGAGCTTAGTCGGCACAGGGCCTGGCACACAGTGGGTACTCACTAAATGCTTGTCTCCTTCCCTCTGGACATGTCACCAGCTAATGATAGAGGCCTTGAGCTCGTGAGGGGAAGGCTGGGCAGGTAGACCAGAGACCCATGAGAGGGGGTCTAATGGGAAAGAGAAGAGGGCCTCCCCAGAGGTCTGTGGTGGGTGTGATGGGAAGCGTGCCCGAGGCCAGAGCAATGGGTGTGTGTGTGTGTCCAGCCCACCTGGCCCGGGACGTCCGAGGGCTGGGGCAGAGGGAACCCTTTCCCTCTCGGGGCAGTCCTCCCACGCTGCGGGGGGGGGTGCCCAGGGCTGCCACAGGGTGACTGCCTGACGTCATCGGCTTGCTGGAGACCCCCTGCTAGGCAGGGAGAGAGCACAGGTGCAGCCCAGGTGTGTGTGACCCGCCCCCGCCCACTCAGGCAGAGGGGTCGCCTCCATCCCTGCCCCCCACCCCAGCGGTTTCCTCTCAGGGTCGGACGCCAGGTGGGCCGCGCTACCTGGGCAGGAGCTGAAGGCGGGCCGCGGTTCGGGGGCTCAGGGGAGGGTGAGGCCAGTCGAGGCCCGGCGAGGGCAGGGGCGGCAGTGGGGCTGGGGGCGAGACCCAGGCCCGGGCTACCCTAGGCTCGAGGCCCCGCGGCCCGATGGGGGGCAGGCTGACGTCGGCCGAGGACATGCCCTGGCGCCCCTCCTTCAGGCACCCCGCCCCGGCCCAGCCTCGCAGCTACCGGTGGCTCGAGGAGGCGGCCGGCCGCGCCCCAGCGCGAGGTCCGGCATCCTTCTGCACATGCGCCGAGGGGCGGGGCCCCAGCCGCGCACCGCCTCAAAGCCGCCGCACATGCGCCGAGGGGCCCGGCGGGGAGCTTCGCCCGCCCCCACGGCCCATGCGCCGAGCTGCGGCCCCGCCCCACCCGGGGTAGGAGCCTGGCGCCGGGAGGCTCGCGAGGAGGGGTTGGGGGAGCGTGGGGCGGGGGCAGTGGCTTCCTGCCGCTCACTGCCTTCCCCCGCCCAGCCGAGCCCGCGGCCAAGCCCGGAGCCTCCCACCGCCCACGTGCCCGGCGGTGCCCACGGCTGACCACGGGCTTGCCTCGCCGCGGCCCCAGTTTGCGGCCCTCCCAGCCACGCATCTTCTCGTCCCCCGGCCCTTGGCGGCCCCTTCCCTCTGTGCCAGCCGCCCGCGGCGTGCCCAGGTCCTGCCCCAGGCTTTAGAACGCCTCGGAGCCCGCGGGCCTGGGCGGGAGAAGGGCGCGGGTCATCGGTTCCCCCCCCCCCCCCCCGCCAGCCGCGCTCTGGGTCCCACGAGGAGAGCGAGATCCCAGAGCCCTAGCCACGGACCGAGGGGCCCCCCAAAGACCGGCCCCCACGGCCCAGCCACGTAAGGGAAGGCAAGCCGGGCTCCAGCTTGTATAAGGACTGGCTCTGTCTAGAGAGCCCAGTGGGTTCTTAGAGGCAGTGAGACTTAAATTAGAGGAAGGCACTAGCTCCCAGCAGGACAGAAACGCACCCAAAATGCCAGCCAAATATTCCTTTTTAACCCTTCCTGGATTTCAGAATGTGGGCCTCCTTTTATAAATGGCACAACTGAAAAGAGAATATGTATAAAGCACTTAGCGGAGTGCCTGGCGCACAGTAGGCACCATGCCATCTCACTTTCTTCTCTTGCCCTTGACAGGAATAAAACTTTTGTGTGGTAGATATTTTCACCCCCAAATACCTTTAATTTAAGCCCAAGCAGGGGCCAGAAGAGTGTTTACTAGACTGCAGGAAATACAGCTATTATAACAAATGCAAGATGGCACCTGTTCTTTCCACGGTCAGATGAAATCTCACATGCATTATTATTATTCACTGCAGAATTCTCAGAGCATTTCAAAGGTAGTTTGTCATTCATCTTGGAAGCTGAAACAATAGAAAGTGGTGCTTCTTGTATTAAATTGTCACTGTTCTTTCCAAAATGATCCAAAAAGTAACTGGTAATGATTTCGAGGCTTGTTTTCAGAGGACTTTTCTTTGCCTGTTATTGGGAGAAAAAATTTTAGCTGTATGAATTGCTTCAAGTTTTAGAAAGTCAAGTTTTCCTAAGACCTTTTTGCTGAACATCTTTATCTTTTAATTTTTCCAGTTTACATCTTCGCTTTTTTTCCCCAGTTGGAGTGAGAACCCCTTTATCTATCGGAGGCCGTGTGGGGCAGTGGAAGGGGACTGGACGTGAAGTCCAAGGACAGGTTTCAACCCTAGCTCTGCCGGCTACTACCTGTGTGGTCTTGGAGCCTCAGTGACTCATACTAAAAATGAAGGAGCAGTTTAGATGGCTGCCAAGGGCCCTTCTGTGATTGTCTCATCCTACTGTCAAAGAGAAAAAATACTAATCCTGTACTCTGCATTTTAGGCCCAAGTCTGACCATTTTATTTTATTTAACATTGTTTTAAATCCAAGCTCTTTCTAACTTAATGAGAAAAATGTCCAAATTGACACAAGGCCTCCCGGACGCGTCCCTCTACCTAAGGACAATCTGTCTGAGGTAACATTGATAGGAATCTTGAACGTGATCAGAATATGTTTAAATACAATTTGGGGTCAACATTCCCCAATAATTGTTACTGCTTAGTTGCTTCAGACCACTCCCCTCAAGGGTTCTCCTGGAGTTATAGAGGTCCAGGACCTCCCTCCTGCCCCCAATATCTTCATCCTTTCTCAGTAGAGACGAGTGAGTCATAGGGTCAAGGTAAGAGGTAGTAAGAGTCTGGGCCTTAGGATTTTGGAGCAAGGTCAGATATAGGTGATGTGGGGCTAGAACAGCAGGAGTCAAAGAGACTGAGTTTCTGCTTGGTGATGATTGGGAGCGTAGTAGTACCAGGGAAGTGTGGACAAGGTGAAGATGATGGGAAGTTAAGTTTGGGCAGGTTGAGCTAGAGATCCTGGTGAGAGACCCACATGGAGCAGTCCAGCAGGCAACTGAGGAGAGCTCAGAGGAAGAAGAAGCAGAATCCCTCCCTCCCCTGGCCACTGTCAGTTCTTGTAGCCTAGTTCATTAAACACAACTCATCTGAATCAGATCACCGAATGCCCAGGACCAGAATCCAGAACACTGGAGTTGTCTCAGTTTTCAAAGCAGCAAACCAGACTGACCCAGTTCATCTTTCTGATTCTCTCCAATGGTAGGGAATATGACAGGGGATGTTCTAGGAGTTCTGGATGACCCAAAAACTGTACCTTGACCAGGTCTGAAGAGAACCAGGATGACTGGGGATGACACAGGAGACCCCCCCCAACCCAAGTTCTTCCAGGCTCTCCCAAGGCAGGACTGACCTAGCAAAATTCACAGAGGCTCATCCCCAGACAGTGGGCCACCAGAGGCCATGAGCCCTTTCAGACACAGCTCCTTAGAGCATAAAGTGTTTACATCTACCCTGGTGGAAGATGCACTTCCACATGAATGAGTGAAATCCTAGGGCTCTGGAATAGCCAACATTAAGCAGACAGTTGCCCAAACTGGGCAACTCTCTCACCAGGAGAGGCAGCAGGGGGTAGTGGTAGCTGGCCACCAAGACCTGGGTTCTACTGTGGCCTCTGACATCTTGTGTGATCCTGGGCACACGCTTTAGGCACCTCCCTAAGCTGCAGAGAAGATGCTGAGCTGCCTTTGGAAAGAAGGTGGCTCCTAATTCAGGAGTTGAAATCACAACTCAGGCCTGAATGACTTTACTTCCTTTGTCCATTTTCACTTTGCTTTAGAGACATGGCCAGAGGTGAGCTACAGAGAGGTTACGGTCTGTATCTCAATTTTGCACAGTCTCTTATGAAGCAGAAGACAGCTGTTTTCTGCTTAATGGATTAAAATTCCTTCTAACTTGAAAATATTGCCATAAAATGCAGGAAAGACAAGGACTTTCCAGGAATCATTCTGCCTTCCTTCTCAGTGAACATGAACAAGGATGTGTAACTGATAGGTTATTTGTATATTTGTCTTAAATAATTCATTTCTCGTGATGGGAAATGCTATCCACACCCAAAGAAAGAGCTATGGAATTTAAATGCAGATCAAAGCAGACTATTTGCTACTTTTTTCTCTCCTGTTGAGTTTTGTTCCTCTCTCTGATGGTTCCTCCCATTGGTTCTAATTCTTACTTACAACATCACTAATGTGAAAATATATTTATTAGGAATGTACATGTATAACCTATATCAGATTGTGCACTATCTTGGGGAGGGAGGGGGAAAAAAGTTTTAAACTCAAAAACATATGGAAGTGATTGGTGATAAATCAAAATAAATTTTTAAAAAATTAAATAATGCATTTCATTCAAGTATCCTCTCTTTAGGGCAGTCTATAGGATATACAAATACATAGCCTGTCAATTACATAATTATACCCCTTGTTCACCATTCACTCTGAGAAAGAAGGCAGCATGATTCCTGGAAAGACCTCATCTTTCCTGTATTTTAATGGTAATATTTTTAGTAGTTGGGAGATTCTTCATTCCACTAAACAGAAAACATCTATAATTAAATCTGCTCCATAACTGTAATGTGCAAAATGAGGATTCCCTAAAGCCCTTAAACAACCTCTTTTGAATTCACCTCTGCCTGTGTTTCTAAAGCAAAGGGCGGTGGCCAATGGAATCTATAGCCCAGATCTTACCACTTGGCACACCTTGTCTCTGGGCGACTCCCAAATCTATCTGTCCAACCCCACTCTCTCCTGACTTCCCACATCAATAATCATCTATTGGACATTTCCAACAGGATCTTCCATAGGCATCTCAAACTCAACATGTCCAAAATGAAACTCACCATCTTTGTCCCTAAACCCTTCCTTCTTCCTCCCTTCCCTCTTTCCATTAAAAGCCCCCACCATTCATTGGGAGGCACTCGAGTACCCAACGAGGGTGTCAGATATGATTCTTGGTTCTTCCTCTCCTCTCATAGCCAATCTGTTACCTCATCTTATTGACTCCATGCCTCTACAGCACCTCTCCCACCCATTCATCCATCCCCTTCCCTCCACTCAAACCCTCATCACTTCTCACCTGAAGCAAAGGCTTCATAATTGGTTTCTCTCCATCTTCCACACCATGGCCAAATGGATATTCCTGATCATGACACTCTCCTGCTCATAAGGCTCTGACTTCCTCTTGGCTCTAGGAGATGATACAAACTCCTCTTGGGCATTTAAAGCCCTTTGTAATCTAATTGCTGAGCTCCAAGAGAAATCCAGCCTCAGAAAGATCCTAGCTATGTGACTCTGGGCAAGAAATTTATCTTTTCTCTCAGCCTCAGTTTCCTCATCTGTCAAATGAAAGTACTGGCAGGGTCCCTTCTGTTTCTACAAGGATGATCCCATGAACCCACTCTCCTTCACATGCTCTACCTCCAGCTTACCTGGATGTTCTCAGTATGACATTCCCTTTCCTATCTCTGCACAGGTCTCTCCCATGCCTGAAATGCATTTCCTCAACTTTCCCTCTTGGAATTCCCTACATCTCCTAAGCCCCCTCCTACAGGAGGCCTTCTGCCCAAGAAATTACTGGGTATGTATAGATCTCAAATTTCCTAACAGCTTACATGTTGATTCCTTCAATGGAACATAAGCCACAGGTTTTGACCCACGGGCAGGGAATGTTTCCCTTTTGTCTTCATGTCCCCAACATCTAGCACCACCAAGGTGCTTAGTAAATGTTTGCTGATGACCTGTTGATCAATTTTAGGATTCTGGCATTTGGGCAGGGCACCTTGTTAGAGGGGAATGCTGAAGGTGACAAGTAGGGGGTGGAAAGCTGGGCTGAGGCAGCTTTTCCTTAGGACAGACTAGGAGAAAATGGCACGTGTGGGAACAACTGACCATTAGTAATGAAAAAGCATCCTGTAGGGGAATGAGACAGCCTGATAGTGGTTGTCTGAGGCAGCCTCAAAGTAAGAGAAGTGGACTCCTGGGCGGATGACGGTGGCCGCAGTCGGTCGGCATCACTGCACCTGCTCCCTTCTCAATGTGAGCTAGAGCCAACTATTCTGAGGCCAGTGGCCTTGGGCACCTTCGCGGCAGCGCCCCGCCCCCACCCCAACCCCGCGCTTGGGCTCAGAGACGGCAGCCACCCCTCCTCCACCCTCTTCAGGTCTCTTACCTTGTTTTCCTTATACAGCATCTCTAGATGCAGAACCTTCCGCAGCTCATTCCTGTTGTTTATGCTGCGTTCCCCTCGAGGATGCTCTTGGTCCATGACAAGGCTCGTTTTTTTTAAGCCCTGGAAGAAGTTGGAAACATTTGGTTGCTCGCTCTCTTCAGACCAATCTACGGCGTCTAGGACCGCTGACTTACTAGAAGTAAGGCCTGGGAGGCCGGGAAGGGGAAGCTCCCAAGGAGCCCCGGGCTTCGCAGCAGCGGCAGAGACCTCGGTCTACAATCCACCATCGCCACTTACCAGTCGTGTGACCCTGCAGGGTTCATGGTCAGAGAAAGTCCGGCCCTCTGCCTGCCCTAGGGCTGCATTTCTCCCTAGGAGCCTCCACACAAACTCCTAATCCCCCTTTGTCCCAGGGGCTCTCCCTCCACCCCTTCGGTGCAGATGCCAGATGCCCCCAGACCCCAGTAAAATGGCCCTCCAGGAGGGTCAGGACTCTCTCTTTTGTTCTTTGTGTCCCCAGGATCTTGCCTGGAACCTCATGAGAACTCAGACGCTTACTGTTTTGAGTAACCTTATCCTCCCCCACCTCCACCTTCTGAGTTTGCCTTTCCCCACCCAAGTCCCTCATCAGTCCCTTCTGCTTAGAGGACAGCCCCTACAGGTTATCCAAGTTTTGCTTTAAAGTGACCTTTTGTAGGGTATGACTGTATACAGTGTGGAAGGGACACCAAAAACATTGGAGGTGGGTTCAAATCCTGGCTCTGGCATTACTACCCCTGTGACCTTGGGCAAGTGTTCTCCTCTCTCTGAGCCTTGAATGTGAGGGGGTTTGGAGCAGTAGCCCATAGAGGCCAAGATTCTTTGAATGGCTTGTATTCAACCAATGTTTAGTTAACGCCATAGTTCTCCGCACCTCAGTTTTCTCTTCTCTTCTAGGATACTTAGGATGCTCAGATAAATTGTGAAAATAAGTCAGTGAGACAACAGGTATCGTGGCCAACACTGTAGGGCTTTGAGGACAGAGGAGAGAGGAGAGAGCTCTGGGAAATGGCAAGTGCAGTGCCAGGCCCCTAGATGGCCTGACAGAAGCATGGGTGACGAGGCAGAGGGCGGTCGGTCGGAAGGAACGTAATCCTGTGGGCGTTGTACCAGCAGCGGAATGAGTGCAGATTAGAAATTAGGCTGTGGAGGACCGTAGAGCCCCATCCTGCAGGCTGACCAATGCCCCCAGTGCTACCAGCTCTCACCAAAACAACCAGGTTGGTACCATATAAAGCAAGTGGCAGAAAATGTCCCCAGCCCACGAGGGGTTTGCACTCAGAAGGCAGGGACTTTCCTAGACTGTGCTCGACCACGATTCTTAGTAGTTCAGACCGCTCAATGGTTCTTAGTCTGACATCACTTTCCAGGCTCAGCCTAAGAGCCCAGCCCATTCACCAATGTATACAGCACCATACCTTTAAAGGTTACCTTAAAACAAACCGTGGATGTGAAGGGGAGGTGTCAACCCTACACAGGTTGAGAAGGCAGATGTGTTCACTGAGGAAGTGAAAATGTTACCCTAAATCCATCACCAAATACTTGCAGCAGAAATCCTGGGGGTGAGCCTTTTTTGTTTATTTCTTTGGTTGGTTGTGCAAAGGGGTGAGGTGACTTAAAAGGGTCACACAGCTAGGAAGCGTTATGCGTCTGAGAGTGGATTTGAACTCAGGTCCTCCTGACTCGAGGGCCGGTGCTCCATGCACTGCACCACCTAGCTGCCCCTGAGCCTATTTTGCAAAGAAAGGGAAAGACTGCAAACAAAAAGTGATTGCTCTAAAAAGGTGTGTGATCAGATACTAGCATTCATCAAGCTGTATGCTTACTTTCTTATTGGGGTTTTTTTAGGCAATTGGGGTTAAGTGACTTGCCCAGGGTCACACAGCTACTTTCTTCTTGTTATAAAATCATTATGAGAGGGAATTGTGGGAAGATGGTGGAAGAAGGCAGTAAATTACCTGGCTCTCCCAAAGTCCCCTCAAAATAACTTAAAGCAATGCCCAAAGTTAACTTTAGAGCAGCAGAAATAATAAAAAGTCAGGTTAAATCAGTCATCCAGCCTAACACAGCTTGGGAGGATGTTAGGAAAGATCTGACTTGGGGGCTGGGGACCTGGCCAGCAGTGGAGGAGCAGAAGCGCGAGGCCTGGGGGCAGCCCTGGTAAACATAAAGGCCTGGCGGAGAATTTATTATTCTCCAGCTGATGTTTAAAAAAAAAGTAGGGGTAACGATCACAATCTCAGACAAAGTTAAAGCTAAAATAGATTTAATTAAAAGAGATAAGCAGGGAAACTACATAATGTAAAAAGGTAGCACAGATAATGCAACAATATTAATACTAAACATGTATGCACTACATGCTACAACATCCAGATTTATAAAGGAAAAATTAGATGAATTCCAGGTGGAAGCAGACAACTATAATAGTGGGGAACTACAAATAAAAAAGAAGTCAAGGAAAGGAATAAAATCTTATATAAGCTAGATATGATAGACATCTGTAGAGAAACAAATAGTAATAGAAAAGAATGTACTTTTTCTCAGTGGCATGTGGCACCTTTACAAAAACTGACCCTATATTAGGGCATCAAACCTTTATAGTCAAATGCAGAAAAGTAGAAATATTAAATGCCTCTTTTTCCAGATTATAATAAAAATTGCATTTAATAAAGAACCATGGAAACACAGATTAAAAATTAACTAGAGACTAAATAAGCTAATCCTAAAGAATGAGTGAGTCAAAGAGCAAATCATAGAAACATTAAATAATTTTATTAAAGAGAATGATAATAATGAGACAGCATACCAAACTTTATGGGATGCAGCAAAAGCATTAATCAAAGGAAAATTTATCTCTCTAAATGCTTACATCAATAAAATAGAGAAAGAGCAGATCAATGAATTGGGTATGCAATTTTTAAAAAACTAGCTAAAAAAAATCAAAAATCTCCAATTAAATACCAAACTACAATTTCTGAAAATTAAAGGTGACATTAATGGAATTAAATGTAAGAAGCTCATTGAATTAATAAATAAAACTAGGAGCTGGCTTTATGAAAATGAAACCAATAAAATAGATAAACCATTGGTTAGTACAGTTTGAAAAAAAAACAGAAGAAAATCAAATCACTAGTATCAAAAGCGAAAAGAGTGAATACGCCACTAATGAAGATGAAATTAAAGCAATTATTAGGAGTTTTGTTGCTCTTTAGTCATGTCTAACTCTTCATGACCCTGTGGACCATACTGTCCATGGGTTTTTCTTGGCAAAGATACTGTAATGGTTCACCATTTCCTTCTCCAGTAGATTAAGGCAAATAGAGTTTAAGTGACTTGCCTGGGGTCACACAGCTAGTAAATGTCTGAGGCCAGATATGAACTCAGGTCTTCCTGACTCCAGGCCCAGCACTCCATCCAGTAAGCCATGTAGCTGCCCCCAATAGGAGTTGTTTTGCCCAAATATTTACCAATAAATTTAACGATTTAAGTGAAATGGAAGAATACTTGCAAAAATATAAACTGCCCAGACTAACAGAATAGGAAACAGAATATCTAAATAAACCCATTTTAGAAAAAGAAATTGAACAGGCCATAAATGAGCTTCCTAAGAAAAAAGCATCAGGACCAAATGGATAGAGAAGCAGATTCTACCTATTTATACAAAAATATTTATAGCAATTCTTTTTGTGGTAGCTAAGAATTGGAAATCAAGGGGATGCCCATCAATTGGGGAATGACTGAGCAAGTTGTGGTATATGATTGTAGTGGAATACTATTATGTTATAAGAAACAATGAACAGAATGATTTCAGAAAAACCTGAAAAGACTTACATGAACTGATGCAACGTGAAGTGAACAGAACTAGGAGAACATCATACACAGTAACAGCAATATTGTAAGATGATAAACTGTGAATGACCTAGCTATTCTCAGCAATACAATGGTCCAAGACAATTCCAAAGACTTATGATAAAAAATGCTATCCACCTCCAGAGAAAGAATGGATAGCATCTGAATACAGACAGAAATATACCGTTTTTCTCCTTTCTTTCTTTCTTTCTTTCTTTCTTTCTTTCTTTCTTTCTTTCTTTCTTTCTTTCTTTCTTTCTTTCTTTCTTTCTTTCTCTCTTTTGTTTCCTTCTACAAAATGACTGATATGGAAATGTTTTATATGATTGCACATGCATAACCTTTATCAGATTGCTTGCTGTCTCAGGGAGGGGGTAGGAGGAATAGAATTTGGAACTCAAAACTTTAAAAAAAGAACAAATGTTAAAAATTCTTTTTACATGTAATTGGAGGAAAATAAAATATTATTTTAAAAAAATAAGTGAATTCCACCAAACATTTGAAGGTCAACTAATTCCAATATTAAATAAATTATTTGGGATAATAGGCAAAGATGCACTCTACCAAACTCCTTTCATGAAACAAATACAATGCTGATATCTAAACCAAGGAGAGCAAAATCAGACAAAGAAAATTATAGGCCAATTTCACTAATGAATACTGATGAAAAATCTTAAATAAAATCCTAGCTAGGAGAATATTGCAATATATTATGATCTCATTTTGCAGATGATACAGCAATATACTTGGAAAATCCTAGAGACTCAACTAAAGAAATTTGTTGAAATACTAATTTTAGCAAAGTAACATGATATAAAACAAACCTGCATAAATCATCACCACTTCTATATATCACCAGCAAAGCCCTGCAGGAAGAGATATTTTATTTAAAATGATCATGGGCAATATAAAATACCTGGGAGTATACCTGCCAAGACACACCTATCAACTATACAAAACACTTTTTATACAAATAATATCAAATTTAAATAATTGGAGAAATAGTCATTGTTAATGGGTAAGCCAAACCAATGCAGTAAAAATGCCAATTCTGGCTAAACTAACCCACTTATTCAGATTCAGTGCCATCCCAATTAAACCGCCAAAATGTATTGTATTGAGACAGAAAAAAATAATAATAAATTCATTTAGAATGTCAAAGGACTCAATGGAAAGGAAGGAAGTCTAGCTATGCCAGATCTTCAACTGTATTATAAGATGGTGATTATCAG